GTGTGCGCCTCTCTTTGTTTGAGTGTGTGTCTCACCCTCTCTCTCTCTCTGCACTTACAACAACAACAACTTGGATTAATATAGCGCCCTCCACACCGGATGGCGTCTCAGAGTGCTTAAATACCTCTATATCTCTTAACTATTATCTCCACCCTACACTGTCGTTTTTATGGTTGTGTAAAGTTATGGCTGTGTCTCGCAGGGCGGGAGTGTGTTCGGTGCTGTCCCCCTCCCCCTGTACCCATCTGGTACTAAACAGTGTCTCTGATTCATCCCCTAGAATGCCTTACAGTACCTGATTGACTTGAACGCAGTTTCGCAGCGACCGAACTCCGGTGACACCAACCACCAGCGAGGTACATGTCCTCATGTTATTCCGAGGTTCGTCATTTAATTGTGTACCTATCACCGCTGACTTGATTCTGGGATGATTTATAATTCCCCCCCTCCTTTCTCTCTCTCTCTCCCCAACCCACCCTCGCTTCCCCCCCCCCACCCTCGCTTCCCCCCCACCCTCGCTTCCCCCCCACCCACCCACCCCCTCTCCTCACCCTCGCTCCTCCGCCTCCATCCACCCAACTCTCTATAGAATCCAGGAAAGCAGTGAGGAGGAGAAAGACATGCGGTGCTGTGCGAACAGGCGCCGCGACATCCCGGAACTCGCCGGAACCCATGACGGGCGACATACGGATCGCGGACGACCGCGGCAGCACCAACACGGTGAGAAACCGCACAGCGCAACGGCGCTTGCTCACCGCCCGCCCGGAACCCAGACGCCAGACAACCAAGTTTCCTTCGCCATTTAATTCCTCCTTTCTTTCTTTCCTCTCTTCCCAGGAGCAAGAGATGGCCTCGGTCTTGCTCTCCCACATCGCCAGCGCCTTGGAGCGGGTCGGAAGTGCGTACGGAGCCACATTGAGGTCGCGGCTGAGTCCCGAACCGGATTCTTTAGGGGATCTGGATGTCTCTTACTTGTAAGGATTCTCCTACAACTCAGCAGTAACTCGCGTTTGTACAGCACCTTTCACGACCTCCTGATCTTTCCCGACTTCACGGAGAATAAAGTCTCGGGAGTTCTTTTGTGCTAAGTTTTAGCTTAATCCAAGTGCAACTGTTCCGTCTAATGAAGCGAACAAGCAATTTTTATTTGCAAGGATACTAATAAGATGATTGTTTTTAACCTAAACCGTGTATCTGTGTGTGTGTGTGTGTGTCTCTTTTTCGCTCTGCCTTTGTGGCTCTCTCTGTATGTTTCTCTCTCTCTCTGTTTCTGTTTATCTGTCTGTCTCTCTGTGTCTTTGTCTGTCTCTCTCTCTCCCTCTCTCACTCTCACTCTCTCTCTCTCAGTGGCAGACTGGAGCCAGAAAGCAGGGAGTCTGAGCTGCAGGAAAGTGGCAGTGCCAGCCTGGGAGTCCGGGTGGTACACCACCCGGGCTTTATCCTGAAAAAAGATCGTGCTTGGCGATACCGCAAATCAGGTAAGGTATTTGTTAATTCCTCAAGATCACACGAGAGGCGGTGGGAGTGTGGGGGGGGTGCATTTACGAAGCACCACACACATGGGGTGGGGTCCCAGAGAACTACCACGTGAGGGCAGACAGAGGGAGGGAGGTTGTGGGCATTAGTGACTGAAGCCTTAGGTGTAGGCAGTGAACTTGTGGTCATCTGGTGTGTGAATAAGTTTGGCTCCAGCGTGTTTGTCTTTGAATGTACTTCCCTTTATTATTCCCGGTTAATAATAATAATTATTATTATTTCTGAAGGCGTTATATCAAATGCAAGGATTATTATTATAACAAGTGAAGCAGGGGTACAGGAGACCTGCGCAGTGACAGCTGTCCTTTTGTTTACAGTGTGTGCCAGCGTTCGGAGTCCATTGCAGAGAGTGATGCCCGTACAGGAGGACCTGCTTTACCGAGGTTGCCCGTGTAGCGCAGGGCCTCCCGACCTGGGGCGGATTGGGAGCAGGCGTTTCTTCGACCGGAAGACCAGGAGGCCCTCGGAACCGGACGATTTCCCCTCGGAAACCCTTGGTCATGGCTCCCATCCTCCAGCCCCAACGGACACTCTGGGTGACGTCAGCGCCAGACACCAAAGTCTAAGGACAGAGCTGAGCGTGCGTTCGGAGCGGGGGGGTTACTCCCCCGTCCTGGGGGGCTTGAGGTCGCGGAGAACGCTGCCGCCCGGACCCCTGGCTTGCCCGGACTCTCTCCTGAAGAGGCTGACGGGGGTCGGGGGGGATTCCCATCCTCCCGGCGCAGGGGCCGGGGCGGGGCCAGGCTGGGGCTTGGTGCTCGGGCAAGGCAGCGGAATCTCCAACGGGCAACAGAGACCCTTAAAGGGAGGGGGCTGCTCGGGGGCGGAGAGCCAGGCCGGCTCTTCCCGAGCCTGCCTGGAGAAGGGGGATTCCGGGTCAGTGTCCTATCAGCAGAATGTGGCGGGGCGGGGAGGGGGAGGCGGGGGCTGCTCCGATTCCCGTCTCCCCCACGACGTGTACGACCCCTTCAGCCCCACGAATGAGGAGAATGTCAACGGGGAAATGTCGGCCGGGGGGCGGTGGTCTCAGGAGAGGGGGGGGGAGGAGGAGGAGGAGGATGATGAGGAGGAGGAGGAAGGGGAAGGTCAGGAGCAACGAGAGAGGGGGAACGAGGAAGAGAATGAGGAGAAGTACGACCCCTTCGATCCCACCGGCTCCATGGGGAGCTCCAGCGACCTGACCCCCATCCGCGAGGACTCCGAGGGCGAGCTGAAGATCGTGAGCGACGCAGAGATGAGCGAGGAGGAGGAGGAAGAAGACGATGACGAGGAGGAGGAGGAGGAAGAGGAGGAGTGTTTGAGCCCGGAGTACGAGGAGGACGTGTCTCCGCGCTCGGCGGGGTGCGTGTCCGAGCCGGGGGTCCAAGCGGAACCCCCCGTCCTGGCGAGACGGGGACTGAGGCCTACAGCTCCCCCGAGACCAGGGCCTTGGAGCGTGAGGGGGTGCAGGGGCAAAGCGAGCAAGGTGGAGACCCCGATATGGAGACGGAGAATCCCTTTGACTTGATCTCCCAGCCCGACCTCGAGCAGATGGAGTCCGACATTCCTACGCCTGCCCGGAGCGACCGGGACCTGGAGGAGGAGGAAGACGAGGAGGAGGAGAATGAAGGCGAGGTGATGTTGGGGTCCAAGAGGCCGTGTGTGGGGTCACCATGCCGGGAGGATGGGCTCCTCTGGAACCCCGGGGCCGAGCCGCGACCGGGAGAACGCCCCGAGCCGGTCCCCGAGCCAACCGGGAAAGCCACAACCAAATCCGGGGCGCGTTCCGACCGGGACCGGAGCCGGAATCCCCCCGGCCCGAAGCCAAGCCCGCCAGCCGGGCGGCCTCCAAGTCAGGGGCCCGGCAGAGGAGTGGCGGGGGCAAGGCGGAGGGCTCCCGCAAGGAGAAATCGGAGGGGAAAGGCCGCTCGAAGGCCGAGCACAAGGGCAAGTCGGCTTCCGACTCCCGCTCCCACCACAAGTCCCACAGGGGGGCCGGGGAGCGCAAGGCGGAGAGGAAGGCGGAGAGGAAGGACAACCTGGTCTTCACAGTCAACATGTCGTCCAAGTGGCCCGAGGAGTCATACGAGGACTCGGAGATCGAGGAGGGGGAGATCGTCCCCCAGGAGGAGGATCGCTTCAGCCCCGGTCGGGCGGTGCGGGGAGGAGTGGGGGGGGCGGGGAGGGCGAGCGGGGGGAGGGGTCCCCCTGAGCGCCCCCTCCGGGCCGAGGGCGATGACTTCATCTCGCTTCACGCCGACTCGGACGAGGAGGGGGCACTGCAGATTGACCTGGGGGAGAGCCCTCGGGGGAGGGCGGGGGGCCAGGGGGGGGAGGGGCGGGGGCGCCGAAGAAGACGGAGCGCCGGCGCAAGGCCTCCTCCGGCCCGCGGCGGGACAAGTACCGCAAGCGCTCGCGATCCCCGTCGGAATCCAAGGGCCGCTCTGGCTCCCGCTCGGAGTCCAGCTCCCGGGGCCGCAAGAAGCACAAGCGGGAGCACCGCAAGGCCAAGGAGGGGCGGCGTTCCCGGTCCCGGGAGCACAAGCGCTCGACCTCCAGGAGCCGGCCCCGGCCCAACCGCAAGAAGTCCCGCTCGCGCTCCCGTTCCTGGGAGCGCCGGCGTTCCGGCTCCCGCTCCCGCCCAAAGATCTCCAAATCCCGCACGCGCTCCCGGGAAGGGCGGCGTTCCCGGTCGTGGTCGCCGTCCGTCAGCGCCAGCCTGCCCGCCATCGGCTCGCTGCGGCCCTCGGCCGAGAGGTGGAAGTGCCGAGCGGCGCCCCCGCAGGTCAGGGAGAGCGCCGCGTCCTACCATCGCTCCCGCTCGAACAGCAAGTCCCGCAAGGAGAAGCACAAGAAGGAGAAGTTCCGGGAGCCGGAGCCGTCCGGCAAACAGCGCCGCTCCCAGGACAAGGCGCCGAAGGAGAAGCGAGTCCACAGCCCGTCCCCCCGCCGGGCGAAAGAGGGGAACGAGAAGGAGAAGGACAGGGGGCGGGAGAGGGGCGAGAAAAGCACGAGAAAGCGGCGCAGGGCCGGAGGGACAGCAGGATCGTGGTGCCCCCCTCCATCCAGGAGCTGAACGACGACGACGACGACATCTTGATCAAAGCTCGCTCCATCACCAGGACCATCACCGTGAACAGCCTGGACGAGCGGGAGGGCCTGCTGGACGAGAAGCCCGCTCCCCCGCCCCGCCCGGCCCTCTACGACTCCGACGGGCCGGGCTTCGAGAACAGTTTCTCCGACGGGGGGGAGAGGGGCGGGGAGCCGGCCCCGGGAAAGGCGGGCGGCGCGGGTGGCAAGAACGAGCGGCGGGGGGGAGCGGGCGATGGGTGCCACGAGAAGGGCAGCCGAGCCCTCCAGTCCGGCTCCAAGGCGGCCAAGAGCAAGGACAGGAAACGACTGCATCCGGACGACAAGCCGGTCAAGGAGAAGCGCAAGAAGAAAGCGTTGGGCGGGCAGAAGGGGGCGTGCGGGGCGGAGGGGCTGAAGCCGGAGAAGAAGGGGAAGGAGCACCCGGTGGAGGTCCAAACAGTTAAGAAGTCCGGCAAGTCCTCCTCCTCCTCGTCGGCCAAAGAGCAGGCGCCCAGGAAGGTCAAGCTCCAATCCAAGGTGGCCGTACTGATCCGCGATGGGGTCACCAGCTCCACGGTCTCGCTGAAGGAGGAGCGCGGGAAGGGAGGGGGTCTGATCGGGGTCAAGTTCAGCCGCGACAAGGAGAGCAGGTCTCCCTTCCTGAAGAGTGAGGACAGCAAGGCTCCCGAGCCCAAGCCCCCCAAACCCAGGCTCGAGATCTCGGACCTCAAAGGTACCGGCGGAGGTGGGGGAGCTAAGCCCCTCAAAGCTTCCAAGGGGCTTCCCAAGATGAAGTCCGCAACCAAGAAGTCCAAAGCCGGGGGGGCCAAGACCAGGGGGTCCGGGAAGAAGAGGAAGGAGCCGAAAGTGAAGCCCGCCCTTAAGAAGGCCAGCCCCAGCAGCGGGAGCAGTAAAGAGTCCAGCCCGCTGCGGCTGAAGGAGGAATATTCCTGGTCGGGGTCCGAGAAGTCGGACGACAAGCTGAAGCCCCCCAGCCCGACGGCCAAGGAGCCGGAGGAGCGCGAGGGCAGCCCCATCTCGCAGGGGTCCGAGCCCCACGTCCAGACCCCCGACCCACCCTTCGTACCGAAGGAGCCCCCACAGGCCCCCCCGCCCCCGCCCCCACAGCAGCAGCAGCAGCCCCCGCCGGCCAAGGAGTACCTGGAGAACAGCGAGGCCTCGGGGAAGGTGAACGGGGATAAGGCCCGGGCTCCCGGCAAACCACTGGCCTGGGATCTGCAGACGGGCGGGGGCATGCTGGCACGTAAGTCAAGGCTTCGGCAACCTTCACCTCCGTTATCTTCAAGCTGTCGTCTCTCTCTCCCCCCCCCCCTCCACCCCACCCTCTCCCACTCTCCCCTCCCCTTCCGCCCCATCGCTAATAATAACAATGATAACGACAACCATCGCCACACTTTCAAGTCTTCGAGACACGTCTGTGAATACTTTCCGCTGTGAAGTGGAGTGACCGCTCGTGTTTTTGGGGCACGAATGCCTCGCGGTGGTGGCTTGAGTGATTATTACCCCCCCCTCCCCCCCCCCCCCCCGAGCATGTTACATTGAGTGTTACCCCCCCACCCCCTCAAAGCCTGAGAGCGTTGCTGCGCTGTAACTTGGCGTGGAGTGTGATGTGATGGTGGTCTCTGTCCCTTTCAGTTACCGCCCTGCTGTTTAAGATGGAGGAGGCCAACAGAGCAAAGGCCCAGAACTCAATACAAGCAATCACACAGGTGGGTACCTTTCTGGGTCTCGGGGCTCTGCCCTCTTCGAGCTTTGCCGGAACAATACCCAATCCTCCCGACTCCGGTCTTCACCCAGTTCCTTGTCCCGCCGGAACATCACCTCTCGAAACCCCTCCCGTCACCGGTATTTATTTGTCGGTCGACGTTTGGTTGTTAGTTTGTGCACAGCAATGTCCCGCAAACAGCCATTAAGGGAGCGAGCGGTTTTGTCTGGAGTGGGGGGTTGGGGGGGGCGCGGGTTGGTGGGGGGAAGAGTTGTCAGGAATGTATTAGCATCAAAGAAGAAAAACTTTTTCTGGACCTGCAGATATTGAGTCAGGCCAAGCCCCCCGCACCATCCTCCCACCCACCAGTCAGCCAGCCCTCCTCCCAGTTCCTGCTCCAGGGGGGGATTCCGCTGGCGAGCACCGCGACCGGCTTGCCCCCCCTCTCGGGACCCACCGCCCACCCGCCCGCCAGCACGTCGGGCAAGTTGAACACCACCTCGCTGGAGAACGCAGACACCACCAAGAGCGAGGGCACCAGCTTCATCGACAGCAGCATGGACTCTGATCGGGTAGGTCATCCTTCAACATCCTCACACTCGCTCGCACCTCCCCCTCCACCTCCATCCCACTCCGCACATCCCGCACTAAACTCCATTCGCACCCCCCCTCCCTCCACCCCAGCCCTCGCCAGGCTTCATTGGCTTCATTGGCTCCCTATCACACACACTAAACTCCATTCCCCCCCATCACACATCATCCGCCCCCACCGCCGCGTCCCTTCCATCTTCAGGTTGCGCCCAGAGATGGAAGGGGACACTATTCTGCGAGAAGGGGGCGCTATGTAAATAAGTGCAAGTTGTTGTCATTGTTGTCCTTGCTGCTCCCAGTACCTGAAGAAGCTGCACACGCAGGAGCGAGCGGTGGAGGAGGTGAAGCTTGCCATCAAACCCTTCTATCAGAGGAAAGAAATCAACAAGGAGGACTACAAGGACATCCTCCGCAAGGCTGTACATAAGGTAAGGTCGCTTCTTTCGCAGCAGGAGGACGCCCTCAAAAGCGTTTCGCAGGACGTGCCTTGAACTTGTAGTGACTGCGCGTTTCGATTTGTGGGCGAAATGCGGTAGCCCATCGCGCACGGCAGTGTCGTGTGTGTGCGTGCGTGTGCGTGTGTGCGCGCGTGTGTGTGTGGAGTAAGGAAACTCGCCTCAGGTTTCGCCCTGTCCACGAGAATCAAATCGAACCCGGGTCCTCTCGCTTGCGATGCGAACGCTCTTAACCACCGCGCTACCCTACGGGACTCCACAATAATGACCGCCCCGGTAGCACTCAATATACCCCCCCCCCCCCCACCCTGGACGCTTTGTAACTCACATCCCTCCTCTCTCTCTCTCTCTCTCTCTCTTTCCCTCTTCGCCGCAGATCTGCCACAGTAAGAGCGGCGAAATTAACCCCATGAAGGTGGCCACCCTGGTGAAAGCGTACGTGGACAAATACAAGTACGCCAGGAAACACGGCAAGAGGGTGGACGAACCGCCTCCCGGCCGACAGAGCAACGGCAAAGAGAGCAGGAAGTTAGACAAACACGGCAAATTCTTACCACCCACGTAAAAACGCACACAACAGCCCCCCCCCCCCCCACCACACCACACACCTACAGCGAGCAGAAACGAGAGACCGGTTTTATTATTTTACTGAAATAATTTTACACGACCCTCTCCCCCTCCCTCCCTCCCTCTCTCTCTCTCCCCCCCATCGCTTTCTCTCCCCACCCCACCCCGTTTTAAACTGCGGAGACTTGCGTCTTAAAGGCCAAAGAGGGGCACAAAGACGCTTTTTTTTAAAAAAAGAGAGGATTTTTTTGGGGGGGTGGTGGAGAGGGGAAGGGAGGGAGGGAGAGAGTGGGGTGGGGCGGGGGGGGGCGCGTGGGAGGGTTCAATGCAATGTGTAAACCCAAGACGGCCTCCTCTGTCCCTTACCCCCCTCATTCATTACCCCCCACCCTCTGTACACACACACATACAACTCATACTTACACACATATACCCCCATCCTCCCCCCCCCCCCCACCAACCCCCCACCCCACCCTCGGTCAAACCGCATTTAGATAAGATTTAAGGACTTTTTAAACTGCGATGTATCTCCTGAACACTGTATATAAAGATGTTCCTGCGAAAAGGAGCCACACTCGTTTTTCTTTACCTCTTCTCCTCTCTCTCTGTTCCCCACCACCCCCCCCACCCACCCCCACCCCTTTACTTTTCTGTGCATGCGTTACTTTTTTTTTACGAACTTTTCTATCCACTCTTCCCCCCCACCCCACACACTCACACATCATCCTCCTTCCAGGTACTAACTCGCTGGTATCGTGGCTGACTCACCCCCCCCCCCCCCCCCTCCACCACCCAACAACCCCACACACCCCCAGGACTTCAATCCACTGATCGCTCTTCACCCCCGTGAGGTTGGCTGGGGGAGTGGAGGGGGAATCACAGCCGAGTTCCCACCACCCCGTCCCCCTCTCATTTTCCTCTCCTCCCCCTCCCAAAGAAAACTGATCGCCATCATCGCCGCACCTTCTGTTAGGGAGTGGGTGGGAGCAAAGCGTCATTGGGCCGCGATGGGTTGACCCTGACTAGACCGTGAAGCCTCACTTGTCCTCATTCAGTCGCCCGTACAGAACGAGGCTCACTTAAGACTCGTGGCCTGAGCGGCTGTTTGCACAGATGGGGCAGGGCATCGCTCCCGAGGGCAAAGGCTGGTTTGCTGAGGGAGAGGAAGATGGAGGGGGGGGGGGTGGAGATGGGGAGAGGGGAAGGGGGTGGGGGTCCACGTGAGTTAGTGAGCGTCTTGTGTGGGTTCAAGTGCATTTCTGGGTGATCGGATGTTTCTATGTATGCATTTTTGTGTGAGTGTGTGTGTGTTTGTGCATACACACCTGTGTGTGTGTGAGAGAGTGCGTATGTGTACAGGTCTGTGCACCCGTGGTGGAGGGGTGTGTGTGTGTTTGTGTGTGAGACGGTATGTGTGTATAATGGGGCATGTGATGGAGACTGTGGGGAAACAACACTGACCCATAATAGACCATGTGTGTGTGAGAGAGAGAGAGGGGTGTGTGTGTGTGAGAGAGAGAGTGTGTGTGTGTGTCTGCGTATCATGTCCATACAGGTGATGCTCAGGGGATGTCAGCCGCTTATCTTGAGGGGATCCATTACAAAAGTGCGGACAGTAAATGGCAGCATCTCACCCTCAAAGGTTTTTCCCACCCCCCACCCCCACTGCCTGTCGGTAATGAGGCAAACTGATCTTTAGAACAGCTAATTTATTTAATCCCTCCAAAAAAAAAAGATAATAAATTGGTCATTTTCAGTCCGCGGCGGTTTGTGGGGCAGACGCCGCTGTGCGCAATTGGCCGCCGCGTTCGCTCACAAATATACAGTCAATTCACTTTACAGTGTGTTCTGTGAAGCGCTTTGGGACGTCGATAAGACGTGAAAAGTGCTATATCAAATGCAAGGATTATTATTATTATTTGGGCTGCATTTATATCGGATTTTGGGGTCTTTGCGCTTTCTCTCTCTCTCTGTCTGTCTGTCTGTCTGTCTGTCTCTCTCTTTCTACACTTCTCTCCATCACTTCCTGACTATTAGCTGAAGCTAAGCTTGGGGAGAGGTGGGGGTGGGTGGGGGGGGGGGGAGGGAGTCGGGGTTGGGAGGAACTCTGCTGTGTTGGGGCGGGGGGTTGAGCGTGTGCGCGCGTGTGTGTGTGTGGTGTGTCTTATCTGCACGAGAGAGTGAGTGTGTGTGTGTGTGCGAGAGAGGTACCCACTTTTATTGTGATATCTCTTAAATCATGTCAGATCATTTGGACTTTTATGGGGTGGGGGTGGGGGGGGGGGAGAGAGAATGTGTGTGTGTGTGTGTGTGTGTGTGAAAGCAAGAGAGGGGATGGATGGAGAGTGGAAGGAGCGAAGTGTGGGTTTGCCCGTTTGACTCAATACCCTGTGTGATATCATTAACCTTCCACCCCCCCCCCCACACACACACACACACGCACACGCGCGCACCATTTTTTAAAATAAAATTCACACAGCGGTTTGTGTTCCTTGACGGGGAGTCTTTTTCGGGGGTGCGGGAGGGAGGCCGTAGAGGTGGGGTGGGGCGGCGGCGGGGGGGGGGGGCAGAAGGGGGGTTAGGCAGAAAATCCCCTCTCCTCCCCCCCCCCCCCCCCTTGCAAGACGGCCGTGCTAATATTCTATTTATCTGCCTGTTGTTGAGAATATTGTATAAATAAATTGAGATTGTTCCAGACCGCAGGTGGACTTGTTTTACCGGGGCATTCCGCTCGGAGAGACACAGACAGACAGACAGACGAGAGAGAGAGAGACAGACGAGAGAGAGAGAGAGCGAGAGAGAGAGGAGATTGTTGCTTGGTATCTCTCAAGCGTCCCTTAAGTGTCTGCTCGCAACCCTCGCACGGCCAACCGTTCTCTTAAAGGACAGACAGAGAGAGAGCGAGAGAGAGAGAGAGAGAGAGAGAATGTTACCCCCGGAAATCGCTGCGCCCATCAACCGACTCTCGAGCGGGGGGTTCCTGCTCACTGCTGGGCAAACGGGCGCGGAGTAAGCAAACTTCCCTACGGTCGGATCGCCATGACATCGCTTCCTGCGTGTGTGCGCGCGCGCGGTCGTACCATTGGTGCCATTTTGCCCGCATCACTCGGCGGTCCGGAAAGCCGGGTGGGATTTTACACCTTATTACGGACTGCCTTACGGTCAGGCACTGCTGCCTCGAGGTGAGTGCGCGGCGGATGCTGATTTGTGTCATGGTGCGTCGTGTGGGCTTCACCACTGGAGGCCAACGTGTCTACCCGGGTCGAATGTCACTGTTGCTCTGCGTGCGGGCCGTGGAGTGAGCGAACGGTCCTGTTTGGGTGAGATTGTCGGCCAGGACGTGGGGGAGAGAGACGACTCTTGTCGAGCATTGCCACGGGATCTTTACCGTCCACCGGAACAGGCAGACGGGACCTCTGGCCGAGGTCTCATCTGAATGCAATCCACTCTGCTTACCTATACTGTACTCCGGTGACAGTCTATACTGTAAAGCGTGTTAGGGTATTAGTGTATGAGGGAGGGGAGGGATGGATGGAGGGAGGGAGGGAAGGAAGGAAGGAGGGAGGGAGGCCGAGGTGCTTTGAATGCCCAATTTCATGACCTGGCGTTCGGTTGCACTGTGAAGCCCCGGTTTTTTTTAAACAAAAAAAGATTAATGTTTATTAAGGCTTAACTGAACCTCGTCGCGAAGGAAAGAGGAAAGAAAAAAACGCGGCCGGTTGTCCCAAGCAGCTCGCAGGGTAATCGGCATCAAAAATCACAATTCCTAATAACAGTCCTAACAATCCTTTCTCTTAGTAGTGCAACGGCATCTTGTAACTTCCACCTGGACAGCCACAGGCAGTGGTGGGGGGGGGGGGGAGAGTGTGGGGAGGGGGGGGTACTCCCGTTTAATGTGCCCGTACCTTAAACACCGGCATCGGTTGCCGAGCAGGTGACGACATGGCCCCCTCCACACTGGGAGCTCTACTTGAGCTGAGAACTTGGATAAGACGGGGTCAGTCAAGTCCGTCATAGGCACAGGAGGAGGCCATTCAGCCCCGCGAGCCTGCTCTGCCATTCTATCGGACCGCGGCTGATCTGTCGGTCAACAACAACAACAACTTGTATAGCGTCCTTCACCTGGAGTAGTGTCTCAGAGCTCTGTCACGCCAAGCCACCAGGGCTCTGAAAGGGGTCTCTCTCTCTCTCTCGCTCTCTCGCTCTCTGGCTCTCCGGGGCTGAGAGGGAGTTGAATCACTGTCCCATGTCGATTTCCATCGTCTCCTCAAAATCACGGAACAAGGCGAGGAGGCTGGAGGTGGACGGCGTGTCCGACAGCTGCAGGTCGACTTCCTCGCCTTGCAGGGATGAAGCTCCCAAGTCGTGTGCCATCTCGTGCAACATCTTGAAGGCAACGGGCGTGACCTGGACAGGGAAGAGGAACACACTGTGAAGAGGGGGTAGTAGTGGCTGCGGATTTTGTGGGTGGAGGGCAGAAGCCAGTTTCGCACAGCGACGTCCCACAAACAGTCGCAGGTTGAGTGATCAACTTTTTTTTTGTTTGAAGGGAGGAATTATTGCCCCCCCGGAAAGCCAATCCGCCAATAGGGACGACCGAGCTCCTACCTTGGAGTGAGGAAACTCGGCTAAGGTTTCACCCTGACCCAGGCGGGAATCGAACCCGGATTCTCTCGCTAACAAGGCGAGCGCTCAAACCACTGCCTTATGGGATCTGGCAAGCTTTCCCACTGCTTGACCGGCCAGGACCACCCAACCTATTAGGGCTTTGGCTTGTAGGGTTAATGAGAGATAAGTGAACCCCAGAGATGGAGCGATTTGGGGAGGGGAGGAAACAATAAGGGACGGTTTGTAATAAGGGGGGAAAGGTTGCGTGGGGTGGGGTAGGATGGGGCAAGGGGTCATACCTTCACCATGATGAGTTTCTTGTTCCACGGCTTCCTCTGATGATCTGGCCACAGCTCCCCAAAGCAGAGCCAGAGGGTGTACTGGGGTGAAGTCTGGCTTCCTTCCAAAAAGGAGATCATCTCTGCAAAGGTAAAGTAACTACACTGTAAAGTGCAGGGACTGTGTATTTTGTGGGCGAAACGCAGCAGTCGGTTGCGCACAGCAGCGTCCCCACAAACAGCGGTGGATCGAATGACTAAATTATCATCTTGTTGGAGGGATTGTCATCCCTTGGAAAGAGATCTGCCAATCGACCAACTGGCAACCGGGTTCCTACTTACTGCTGGGTAAACGCTTGGGCTTACAAAACATAACAGGTCACTCATTCCCTCCCTCCCTCCCTCCCTCGCTCCCTCGCTCACCTTGGGTGAAGAGAGGCAGGCTGTAGAGGAACGTGTCCTCTCGGCTCGACACTCCTTGAGGCTCGGACGGATCTGGAAACTGAGCCCTGGACCAGAAGGCCTTACACTTGCCGTAACGCCTGGCGTAGATCCGGTTGTGCTTGACTTCCAAGGCCAGGCCTCTGCCCAGGCTCTCGAGGAGTTGGTTGGTGAACTTGACCTGCTGGTGGTCGCTCAGGGGCACCGAGCTGGTGGCCGGCAACCTGACCTCCTCCAAGTAAGGGAAACCAGGCTCCGAGGGATAGGATAAGAAGCAGCAGCCATTTTGGTTCTTCACCAAAGTCTCCTGTACCTTCTTGCCCCTGTAATAGATCTCCACCTCAAATTCAGTCACTGCGGGGGGGGGGGAGAGAAAAGACACAGAAGTGTCACCTCGCAGGCGGGCGGGGGTAGGGGGGTAATGTCAACAACAACAACAACAACATGGAGAAGGAGGGGAGGGCCGAGTAGGGCCTCAGTCGGCAACAACACGAGGTTTGGTAAACGAGACCGCGAATTGGAGACGCTGGTCACGCTTGACGATTCGCGGCCGTTTCAAGGCAACTGGAACAGGAGGAGGCCATTCAGCCCCCCCCGGCCTGTTCCGCCGTTCCATCAGATCGCAGCTCAACCCCAATTACCCGCCCGTTCCCCGTAATCCCTGCGTACCCCGACCTGAGGCGCATAGACTTGTGGGGAGTTCCAGATTTCCACTGCCCTTTGCGTGGAAAGAAAACGCTTCCTGATTTCATTCCTAACGGTCCAGCTTTCATTTTAAGGTCAAAAGGAGCCCCTTCCTCTCCCCCACCCCCCCCCCCCACCACCACCGCTCCCTTCCCTTCCCCCCCCCCCCCACACCCCCAAATCTTCTTCCGAGCCTCTTCGCCACGTTTCTTTATTTTTGGTGGTTTTCTTTTGGTTCGAAGCGAAAGAGGAAGAGAATAACGATGGGGACAGAATTATACACAGAGAGAGAGAGCGAGAGAGTGAGAAGAGAGAGAGAGAGAGAGAGAAGAGAAAACAACAACTACAGCCCTTAATATAGCGCCTCGGAGCTTAGAGAGAGAGAGAGAGAGAGAGAGAGACGGAGCGAATGAGGTGAGTCAAACAGACCGAGTTTGGAGGAGGGGAAGATGTTCTCCAGTTGCTGTGGTAGTGGGACAGCACTGGGGTTGAGGAGGGGTTGTACGGGGGTTTGGGGTTGGGGGTGAGGAGGGCACGAGACGTCCTGGATGAAGGCGGCGGCTCCCATCAAGGTGTCGAGCCCCGCGATGTCTTGTGGATAGTTTGTGGCTCCGTCTATCCCTGTTCCCAGCCAAGGGACAACATTCCCAGCACCTACAGAGAGAGAGAGAGAGAAGGGGGGGGGGGGGGGGGATGTGAGAGAGAGGGAGAGAGACTTCATCAACGCAGTGCGATACGTCGTGCGGTTAGAGCGCTCTCCTCGTCGCGGGCGGAACGAGGCAAAATCATAGGCAAGTGGCCTTACTCCACACACACGCACGCACACGTGCGCACACACGCCTCTGTTTTTTACTCAGCAGTAAGTAGGAACACGGTTAAGTCGATTGGGGGGGGAATTAAGTTGGGGGCGGAATCGCTTTCCGGGGTTTAATAGTCCCTTTTAAAGAAATTTTTTTTTAAAAAAATCCACCAACTGCCCGTGGGACCGTCTGTGCCAGAAATACGCTGTAAAGTCTGCGTAGTTTGTGGGCGAAATGCGGCAGCCGATTACCCACAGCGACGTCCCCACAAACAGTCGGGGATTGAGTGGGTGTTTTTTGAGGCAAGGTGAGGCGGGCGCGGGCGCGCGTGTGGGCGCGTGTGTGTGGGATCAGGAAACACGGGACGGTACCCGAACCAGGGTCCTCTCGCTTGCGAGGCGAGGGCACTAACCACCGGAGCTACAGCACCTCCTTATGTCTTGGTATTGGCCAAAGCTCTGTTGGTGCAGTAAAAAAAAAAGGCTCTGTCGCTCTCAACGTGGAAGGCACCGACTGTGGTCAGTGAAGCAAGAGACCGGGGAGGGGACGGTGGACTTCCGTGAGGTATAAGGTTGGGGGTCTTACCCCCTGTTTGCTCATCTGTGAGTTTCATCTCTTGCAGGAAGCTATCCAGCGTTACCTGTTGGGGGCAGTGAGCGGATTAACAGTCACTTCTGGAGGTAAAGATATGACAAATATCATTTGCTTTAACCCGTTCCCGTAACCTTCAAACCCTCCCCTCCTCCGTTCTCGACTCAATGCCACCTGCGCCCCCCCCTCTCACCTCACCCGCCCCCTCCACCCCACGCCACCGCTCAACGCCCGTCCCGCGATAAACAATAATAATCATCTTTGCGCTTGAAGCGGCACCTGATGGCGTCACCGAGACGTCTCGAGGCGCCCATCGCAGGGATACACGGTCAAGTGGAGTGACTGTGTGTTTTTGGCGGAATCGGGGAGGAGAGGGGCTGAAAAGTGGCACGAACCGTGACATCAGAACGCAAATGATTAATAGTAATGGTTAGTAATAGTATTTTTCAAGTTAATACCGGGCTCAGGGGATTGACGAGATAGTTAGCGTCAGGAGTAATGTCACTCTCTTCCTCCTGACTGGTACCGGTCTCCTGGGCTGAGGGGACAAAACAACAGCAGCAACAGAGAAGCAGTCTTATCGATGATGATAATAATAATTATAATATTCCTTGCACTCCATACACTCACTCCGCACACGGTCAGACGCAGTATATGGCGTCCAGCACACAGGGTGACGTCCCAGAGCGACACTTAGTCACTTCGTCACTCCATACACAACGACAACAAGTGACATTTAAGCTGCGCCTTTCACTTTGGGAGGACGTCCCAAGGCGCTGGACAGTCGAGGATTGGGACCCAATTTGCTGGGGGTTAGGGTCGGGAGGGCAGGGAGGGAGGTTGGGGGGTAGGAAGGTCTTGAGACGTGCCTGGGAGGAGGCAAAGGAGGGGGTGAGGTGAAAACGGACACAGTCACTCCACACAGTCTCTCACTCACACACACACACACACACTCTCTCCGCACAGCTCCCTGTTACAGGGACCCCCCCCCATTGACTCACAGTCGCTGCTACAGATCTCGTAGATCTTGTGAGGGTCATCCAAGCTGTTGGTGTGATCTTTGACGACTCGGAAATGTGCTTTCCTGTTCAGAGCGCTTCGGAAATTCCTCTTCCAAACAGAGGGGTCTGGCTGGTCCCTCCCTGGTCTGTACCTGCCACTCGCAATGGCCCAGGCCTGTCGGGGTGGGGAGGGGGTGGTGTGGGGGGTGTGAAACGGGGTACACAGTCTGTCACTCACTCTCACTGGGGGGAATCGGGGAGGGTCGAGGGCAGGCGGACAAGCGGGGAGATCAAAAGCACGGTCGAAGAGGAGGGAGGACCTTGAGGCGGGTTTTGAAGGTGGCGAGGGAGTGGGGGGGGTGCGAGGCGGAGGGACTGCGGGATAGGGGTTCCAGAGGGTGGGGGCCGATTGGGGCGAGCGAGGCGGGGGACGTGAGGCTGGACGGAGCCCGCTGAGCGGAGGGAGCGAGCAGGATGGTAGGGGGTGAGGAGGTGGCAGAGGTCGGGGGGGAGGGGGGGGAGCGAGACCAGGGAGGGTGTGGGACAGGATCTTGAACTGAATCCTCTGTGTGATGTGAGGTCGGGCGAGGATGGGTGGGTGGGGGGGGGGTGGGCGGTGATGGGGTCACGAAGCCTGGTGCGAGAGAGAGGACACGGGCGATACTGCGGAGGCGGGGGAAGGCAGAGAGGGTCGTGGCGCGGATGTGGGGTAGAACAGTTGATGGTCCAGTGGTTCTGGACGCCTCTGGTACCTCGAATATTTTGGAGTCTTCGGCGGAGAAGTCCTGTCGCCCTCCGTGCTTCCAGGGAATGCGGAAGCGGGTTTTCTCGGGATCGACCCAGTGGACTCCGGCATAGTTCCCGCTGTCGATCTGCTCGATAAGCCAAGGACACAGCAGAGGCTTCTGAGAACTCATCCCTAAAGGAGAGACAGCACAGAGGGCTCACATCATCCTTCCCTCCCTCCAATCGGCCACATCCCATCTCATCCCTCCAGAAACACCCCCCACACCCCCACACATTCCCCCCCCCCAGTCCACCCCATCACAGCGTCCAGCAGTCAGATCGCTTTTCCGGGGGTAACAAACCCTTCAAAAAAATAATTGGGTCACTTAATCCACGGCTGTTTGTGGGGACGTCGCTGGGCGCAATTGGCTGCCGCCTTTCGCCCGCAAAATACACAGTCGCTTCACTTTCTCGACGTCTGTGGCTCGCGTGTACGCGCGCGCGCGCACACGCGCGCACACGCACACGTGTGGGCTACTCGTATACATACTCGCACAAGCGACACAACATCACGTTCGCTGTTGTGTGTTACTGGGACAGTCCAGTGTGTACACACAGACAGGTCACGCAATCTCCTTTACCCCCCCACACCCCCCCCCCCCACACAACCCCCAAAAAAAACCCCACCGCCACTCTCTACCGCTCACTCTTTACACGAGGACGACCACATTTTATAAAACCCAACTCTTACAGCTCAAACCAAACTCCCCCCAACTGCGGACGCTGATGCAATTGTACAGTACAGGACTCGAGAGAAAAGTTGGATTAACCCCTTTGCTTTTCTGAGGAGTGAACGCGACGGAATTTTATTGTTCTTTCATCTCAGTTTGTTGCTGAGCTCAAGGGAACGGAGGCAAATTCGGCCCCAGGGACACACGCGACACCTCATCCAGAGACAGACGGGTTTCCCCCTCACCTTACACCCCCTCTTAGTATTATAATAATTAATAATAATAACCCTTGCATTTGATCCAGACGTCTCAAAGGCGCTTCACAGGACACACTTGCAAAGCCGATTGAAATGGACGGTGCGGGCGAAAAGGCGGTGGGAGTTGGTTAGACGGCGGAGTAGAAAAGCTGGTCACGGAGACGAACCTTTGCAGCTCAAACCCGACTCACCGATGTGTGGTTGACAAAGCTTCCTTTTACAGCCGTGTACTTTGCTCCGCACCAGACAGTCAGAAGCTTCCTGCAAATCCTGGCCGCCTGTCCCGGTCTCTCTCTCTCTCTCACTGGATCAGAGCTGCAAAGGATTCCACCCCCCACCCCACCGGCCCTGGAGCTTCGGGACTGCCTGAGCCAAACAGTGTTGACCTGCCCTTCCTTGTGTGACTTCACTTCCCTTTTGCAGTCGGCTCCAGTGGAGACGAGGTGGGCTGGGCTGAGCTGGGCTGGGCTGGGCTGAGCTGGGCTGGGCTGGGCTGAGCTGAGCTGAGCTGGGTGGGCTGAGCTGAGCTGGGCTGGGCTGAGCTGAGCTGGGCTGGGCTGAGCTGGGCTGGGCTGGGCTGGGCTGAGCTGGGTGGGCTGAGCTGGGTGAGCTGGGCTGGGCTGGGGCTGAGCTGGGTGGTGGCTGGGGGCTGGGCTGGGCTGAGCTGGGTGGGCTGGGCTGAGCTGGGTGGGCTGGGCTGAGCTGGGCTGGGCTGGGCTGAGCTGAGCTGAGCTGGGCTGGGCTGAGCTGGGCTGAGCTGAGCTGGTTTGGGGACGGAAGAACGGAGATGCGTTCATAATAATAATAATAATAATCCTGCTCGCAAGTAGATGCAGTGCCTTATCACGTCCTCCGGGACCTCACAGCAGACGCCGTCAACAACTGAACGGCATTTAAAGAGCGCCTTTCACGTCGGGAGGACGTCCCAAGGCCCTGGACAGTCCCGAGCGTGTGGCAGGGGAGGGGTGGGGGGGGAGACCAAAGGCGCGGTCGAAGAGATGGGTCTTGAGACCGGCCTTGAAGGAGGCGAGGGAGGAAGCGAGGCGGATGGAGTTTCAAAGCGTGGGGGGGGCAGAGAGGGGGATGGGGAGCCAGTGGAGTGGGCGAGGGTGGGGGTGATGGGTGAGGGTGGGGGTGATGGGGTCTACTGCCTTCACGGTATTTCAAGGCAGTTTTGAGCACAGTAAGATTTTGCTCTCTACTCTAATCCACCGCTCTTACCCCCACCCCATCGTGTCTATACTGCTGCTCGTTCCCCCCACCACCTCCGCCCCCAACTGGAGCTCTCTCCCCAAACCCCATTTCTATGCACTTATCCCCCCATCATGTCTATCCTGGTGTTCGCTTCCCCCAAACCTAAGCTCTCTCCTCTAACCCCAATCCCCTGCTCTTATCCCACGCCGTGTCTACACTGGTGCTCGCACCCCCACCCCCACCCCCACCCCACCCCACCTACACCGGAGCTCTCTCTCTCTCTCCTCTAACCCCATTCCCCCCTCTATAGCACAAACGGCTAAGTGTACTCCAGCCGTCCAACCCCTCGAAGCGACATCTCGGAGACACAGCGGCAGTGTTCCCCAGTGGCCGACGTGCGGCACCATCGACCGCCTCCGCTCAGCTCGTCACGTGCGGTGGCGGTGTGGGCAACGGCCGGACTCCAGACGTCTCTGACTCGTACCGTAGGAAAGTCTGTGTATTCCTTTATTTCCTCCGCGGTTTCTTTCTCCGCTCCCTCCCTCCCTCCCCACTCGCGCCGCCGATGTATTGAGACCCTCCCGGTGGAATACAGAGGCAGAGGCCAAAAGAAAACCCATCCCACAACCACACACCATGTTCTCTCCTTCCTCCCCACCCCCACACATACACCCCCTCCATCACCCCCCCCCCCCCCACCCCACTCCGAAATCCTCAAAGTGCTTCGCAGGCAACCGGTGTCAAGCGGCGTAGTGACTGTGTGTTTCGTCTGGGGAAACCCCAAGACGAGCGAACGGTTTCATCTGTGGTGAGAGGGAGGGAGGGATTGTCGGCCAGAGAGAGAGAGAGAGAGAGAAAGAGAGAGGGTGTGGGGTGTGGGGGAAACTCCCTTCTCTTTTCCCCGGCAGCGCTGCGGGAGATCTTTAACGTCCACCTAAACCCGGACGGGTTTAAAGTCTCCTCCGGACGGTGTCCTGACAATGCGTCGCTCTCTCTCTCTCCTCTCTCTCTCCACCCCAAATCCCACCACCAACAACGCCCCCCCCCCCCATCCCATCCCCACCACCCTCCCCCCCCCCCCCCACCACCCGTTACATATCCTGTGAAGCGCTTTGAGATGTTTCAACCGCGTGATCAGGCGCTGTATTAAATGCAAGGATTATTATTATTATTATTAGCCCAGACCGTGAGCTCAAAGTCACCCTGACGTGTGTGTGTGTGTGGGGGGGGGGGTGTGTGTGGGGGGGGTGTGTGTGTGGAGGAGGGTTTTAAACCCACAACCTTCTGAGCGGGGAGCTGTTGCAACAGCTGTTACCTGGAGAGGAAAGGGTTATACGCAGAGGAGATTATATAAATATATGTGTGTGTGCGCGCGTGTGCGTGTGCGTGTTCTCTCCACGCTGCCGAGGTGAGCGTTTGTGAGTCACAGGGAAAGAGAGAAGGAGAGAGAGACAGAGAGAGAGAGAGAGGGAGAGGGAGAGGGAGAGAGAGCAAATCATTAAGAGGATTCCGGTCTGCCTTACAGCGACCCAATACTCTCTCCTCCACGTCAACCTCCGAAAAAAAGCATCAAACCTGCCTTTAGGGGGTCGGAAACTCTCTCTCTCTCTCTCTCTCTCCTATCTCTCTCTGCTTTTGAAGTCTTCTTCCTCCCCTTTTACCCCCTATTTCTCCCCCCCTTCCCTCCCCTTCCCTCCCATCCTTCCTCCCTCCCTTTCTCTCTCTCTCTCTCCCTCTCTCTCTCCCTCTCTTCTTCTCGCCCCCCACCCACCCCACCCACCCACCACCCCCGTCCACTCCGAAAGACATCGTCAGATGCGGGATGGATTTGGAAGCTTTGCTCGAAACCTTGGAGTCTTGCGATCAGTTGGAAGTGGCGGAATCCCTGAAGGAATTTAACAAGGAGGTGAGTATGGAAACCCGCGTGAGAGCGAGAGAGAGAGAGCGCGAGAGAGAGCGCGCGAGAGAGAGAGAGAGAGAGAGAGAGGGGGGGGAAGAGTTTTCCCTCTGTGTGTGTGTGTGTGTATATATATGTCTTTATTTCTACTCTCCTCCAACTGCGACATTGACGTGAAATTGACGTGACCTTAGCATGAAATTTACATTAAGTTGACATGACATTAGCATGACATTGACATGAAATTACCATACAATTGACATCCCTCCCTCCCTCTCTCTCTCTCTCTCTCTCTTGCGATGGGGAGGGAGAGATGAGGAGAGAGAGAGAGAGGGAGAGAGTGTGTAGCTTATTTAATAAGACCAGGTTTAATCCTTTTTATTATTATTGTATTATTTTTTTATGTGAAAGGATTGGATGCAAAGTTGAGTGCGATGCACAAACTGCAATTGTTTTGGAGGAGGAAATGACGAGGTTTCGCAGTCTCTCTCTCTCTCTCTCTCTCTCTCTTCCTCTTATTTGTGTTTGTGAAGTCAGAAAATGATTGGGGAAAATGGAAAATTTCTGATTGCAAATGGATGCATTGCATTGGGATTTTTCTCTTCTCCTCTCTCTCTCTCGTTCTCTCTTTCTCTCTCTCTCTGTATCCCTCACTCCTTATTTCTGTGCCTCTCTATCTCTGTGTCTCTCTCTCTGTCTCTCTTATCTGTCTCTCTATCTCTTTCTATCTCTCTCTATCTCTCTCTCTATCTCTCTATCTCTCACTCTGTCTCTATCTCTCTGTGTTTATCTCTCTCTCTATCGCTCTGTCTCTCTATCTCTCACTCTGTCTCTATCTCTCTGTGTTTATCTCTCTCTCTCTCTATCGCTCTGTGTCTCTATCTCTCACTCTCTATCTCTCTCCCTCTGATGATAATCCTCAATAAGTTTTTTTTATGTAAATGCGAATCTGGGTCAGTTCGGCTATAAACGCTTCGGATTTGCAGTATATCTGTGTGTTTATCCGTCTGTCTGTGTGTGTGTAAGTGGGTGACTGTGTGTGTGTGTGTGTATGTGTTCGTGTGTATATGTGAGTGTGTGTGCGTACGCATCTGTGTATATATGTGTGTGTGCGCACACATCTGTGAACGTATGTGAGTGTGTGTGCGCACACGTCTGTGTACGTATGTGAGTGTGTGTGCGCACGCGTCTGTGTATGTATGTGTGTGAGTGTGTGCGTGTGCGTGTGTACACGCTTTTCAAATATTAATTACAATAATGGCATTTATTTTTAACCTGCACCGAAATCGCTGTAAATTTGGGGATGGCTGTGTAATTCTGTTATGTTTTAAGGGATCATCTTATCTTTCCAGCAATTCAGCAATTAATTCCGGGATGTTTTTAATCCGGGGAGGCGGGCTGGCCTTGTGCGTGCGTGTGCGTGTGCGTGTGTGTGTGCGCACGTGTGAGAAGAACAGTGTCACAGGGTTTTGGGACGTCCTCCCCACGTGAAAGCCGCTACATATAAATGCAATTTGTTGTGGTTGTTCCCGTTGTCGCCCACGCGCTCGCGCACACGCGCACACACGCGCACACGCGTGATGGAAGCTGCGAGACTATCCCACGAAGTGCGATCTCACAAGTGCAGAGCATTTCGGGGCGAAAATTGTGGGCGATTTAACATCTTAGTTCCTGCGGGAGAACGAGGGAGGGTGGAGGGGGGGGAGAAGGGGTGGTGGGGTGGGGTGTGTGTGTGTGTGTGTGTGTGTGTGTGGGGAGGGTGGTGGTGGGGTGGGGGGGGGAGAGCGCGGGGGTGTGGGGGTGAGCAAGATATTGGAGATAGACTGCGAGAACACGGTTGGGGGACATTCACCATAAAGAATAATGATAATATTGACGAGTAGAGAAGAGTGATGAATTAGATAGACCAGAGTGCCCCCACCTCCCACCTTCCCTTTTCCGACAGCCTTATTCGGGGTGGGGGGGGGGGTGTGGTGGGGGGGAGAGAGAAACATACACAAACAGCGTCCCGAGAGAGAGAGAGAGAGAGAGATGAGCAGACGGGAGCTCAGCGTGTGAGGAGATGGCCAAGATTCACCGCCCGGTCCGTGGATCGCTTACATAACGGATCTGGTTCCATTTCCACCCTTGTCACTTGTTAAGCTCTTTAGTGCTAATCTGAAGGCGCCAGTGAAATCCGCCACGAACCTAAGACCTTCTGAATACTGCCCCCCCCCCCCACCCCACCTCAACCCTCCACACCCCCACCCACACACCCACACACCGAAGCCTTAGCCTAACCCCTGTGCAGAAGAGCTGGTACTCCAGGCCTAAGCCCTGTGGATGTGGGGCTTTTAACTCACACGGCTCCCGTCCAAAATAAAATCTGCTCATTCCCTTGACGGCTGTTTGCCGAGTTGGCAGCACAGGAAAGGCACACAGTCACTACACTTCAGACATACGCGCGCGCGCGCGCTCGCGCAAACACACGGAAAATCCAGTCTTTGAGATGTCCTCCTGGTCCGAAAGGCACTGCACGAAGCGAACCCAAGGATTATCTATGATCCCATTATCTTTTTTTAAAATATCAATTAATCCTTCTTAACATCGGAAGCTTTGGAGCTCTCTCTCTCTCCCTCTCTCCCTCTCTCTCAATCCCTCCATCTCGCCCACTCTCCCCCCTCTTCGCACCCTCCTTTAGATCACGCCCGAAGATCTTCTTCTTGCGGTCTCCTCCCTCGGTGTCAGTCTCCGCCATTGCTGAGCGCTCTGAATCGCTGCCCTGCGTCGTCGTCGTTTGCGTCGGGGGTGGGGGGGGGGGGGGGAAGATCTGACGTCCCCTGTGCTCATGACTTTTCTCTCTCTTTTTTTTCCCCCTCTCTCCTCTTCCTCCCATCCGCAGTACGCCGAGTGCTTCTTCTTCAATGCTGAGGAACGAGAGAGGCGGAAGGTGAGACATTGCGACAGAGAGAGAGAGAGAGAGAGAAACCGCCACCAGCCTTTAAACACTCTAAAGCGAGACACGTCCTCCCTGTCCATGTACACGGGATGCCATGGCTTTAATATACACGGGTTAAATCTGGTACTTGCGTGACTGTTACGTGTTAATCGCGTGGGGAAGGAGCGGGGGGAGTGGGACTGGTGGGGCAGCTCTTCCAAAGAGTCGGCTCGGTCCGGAATGGGCCGAATGGCCTCCTCCTGCGCCGCAATATTCCATGAATGATTCCGCGGTTCTACGTCCCCCGCGATCGGACTTGCGCGTAACTTTTCGGGTTTCGCCCACAACACACGCAGTCAGTCTCACTCTACGGCGCATCCCGTGAAGCGCTTTGATGAGACGTCTCGACGACCTGATAAGGCGCCGTATCAAACGCCAGAGTTCTTAATGTTATCTTTATTATCACGAGAGAAATTCTGCCCAAGTACCGTCCTTTTTTTTAAACCCTCGGAGCGGGGACCGTGCGTTTTGAGTGTTAGCCGTAGAGCTTTGTGAACGAGCGAAGCCTTTTAATTCGAGTCCACCGTCTCTCTCTCTCTCTCTCTCTCTCTCTCTCTCTCACTCTCTCTCTTTCTCTCTCTCTCTCCCTCTCCCCATAACTGTGCATCAGCAACAAGAATTGGAGGAGGTAATGGAATATATTTGCCCCCCCGTCCACCCCCGACCCTCTCGTTAGCCCTCAAGCATCGAACCAGAGGTTTCCGACCACCACTTGATGGCCATTAGGGTTGCATCTCGCGCAAGCGCTCAATAAACAAAATACCGGGTCACTCCGCTTCAGGGTGTCTCCCGTGAAGCGCTTTGAGACGTCTCGACGACGCGATAAGGCGCTGTGTCAGTGCGAGGATCATGGTGTGGCTGTATTATACGGCTTAGTCTTCCGTTGAGCCGGAGATCTACGCAGCTCTCGGGGTTCCTTGCTCTCGCCGTTCCGATCATGCCCGATAGCGACATCTAGTGGTGATCGAGCTGGTTGGAGACCCCTGAAGTAGAGCAAATGCTGCTCTCCCACCGCCCCACCCCAACCACCTCCCGCACCCCCCCCCCCCCCACCACCACACACACACACACACACACACACATCAGGGACTTGGAGCTCTGTTGGACAGCGCTTTGAGATGTTTCAGTTGGGTGTTGTGTAAGTCCTGGTTTTAGGACTTGGTGTGTGGGTGGGGGTGGGGGTGGGGGTGGGGGGGTTTGGGGGGGGAAGGGAGACACAGAGAGAGAGAGAGAAGAGGGAAGAGATGGTGGGGGGGTGGGGGGTTGGAAATGACTGAAAGGGAAGCCACGCTCCAGTTAGGAAACGTGTAAGTTTCTGCGGAGCTCACACTCACCATGACCTGAACTGACCTAAATAAGAGTCACAGAGACGAGAGGTTAGTTTAATCGGATCTGCAGGTGCTCAGCGCTAATCTGCACATCTTTCTCTCCCCCTCTCTCCATCCCCTCCCCTCCCCTCCCTCCCTCCCTCCCTCCCTCCCTCTCCCTCTCCCCTCTCTATCCCTCTGGAGAACGTGTGCAGATTGGGGAGAGGTTGAGTCTCAGAGATTGAGCCGAAGGGCGTAGGATGGTTCCCGCTGTGGCAAACGGAGGTTGGACTGGTGGGTTGGGAGGGAATTCCAGGACCAGCCGCCACCCTAATGGAATGGCGGAGCGGGCCGGAGGGGCTGAATGGCCTCCTCCTCCTGTCCCGAGGATGCAACGTGCCCAATCTCAGTCGCTGCCACCGTACGCACCGCACCGCACCGCCCGCCCCCCGAAACCACTGCCTATTCACTTCCAGCCAAATGGTTTTACCCCCCGGGAACCTCTCGCCCCGGAGAGGCAACCGACCTGTCCAAACCACCCCCTCCTCATGTCCTCGCTGTGTGGCTTCGCTTTCTTTGCTCTGTTCAGAGGTTGTCACTTCCCCGATTACTTTCAGTGCATTTCACTGCCTGTGATTATCCGCACACTTCAATGTCACGTCAACCTGTTGACAGAGGGCAATCTTTCGCTCTCTATCACTCCACTCCTATCTCTTTCTTTCTCTTTCTCTCTATCTATCGCTCTCTCTCTCTCTCTCGCTCTCTCTATTGCTATTCTGTCTGTCCGACTGTCTGGATCTCAGTTTCTCACTCTCCATTTTTCTCTCTCTCTCTCTCCATTCTGTCTGTCTGACTGTCTATCTCTATTTCTCTCTAATTCTTTCTCTTGCTCTCTCACTCTCTATTTCTCGCCCTTCTGTCTTGTCTGTCCCTCTGTGTGTGTGTGTGTGTCTCTCTCTCTCCCTCTCTCTTCTCTCAATCTCTCTCTCTCACTCTCGCTCCCATCACATCGGTCCTCTCTCTCTCTCTCACTCTCTCTCTCTCTCTCTCTCTCT